AAACACACCACCGAGATACCCGCCAAATGGAGAGTACATAAGATTGTATAAGCTGTCCATTCCTTGCTCAGTAACTTCAAACTGGGTAATCCCACAGTCTCTGATGGGTTTCATCCACTACTGCTATCATCCTTCGCGGATATTGTTTCAGACTTACTCACTGTTCTGTTCAATATGTTCCTTTGCCTAAATCAACTCTAGTGAGATAGGGGGAATGCTATACTTAGATGTGGAATAAAGCTGTCACTTTAACCAGCACAGCAGCTAAATTGTCTGAAAAAGAACCCGGAATAAGTCACTACATCAAGTAGAAACATACAGTCAGCCAATCCTTGCGAAACATGGGCTTTCGAATAGCCATTCATGCTAGCCTAACTGTGAGAAAGGATTAGATAGCAGTTAATCTATTGACGTGTTATTTATATATCCTAGTAAAGGCTTTGCTAGGGTGTATCAATAAAGCCTTACTAGCAACTCTCAAGATTTGGAATGACATGTGCTGTGAAGGAGTGGATGAAGAACTTCTACCTTGGCCGAAGACAGGGTGAGAGCAGTGGCCAAATGGAAAACTTTTGAAAGCGGAGTAGCTCATTAGTAAACCTCAGGCTCCCATGCATTTCTCTAAGTTGGCGAGTTTTCAGGACTGTAGAAGCTGTCGATAAAATCTGGAAAACACTAAGTAGCAAGACTGATTGCATGGAACTCAAAATTGATTTAATAGAATGAGCTGTATAGTCCCGAGGCGGGGGTCCATGAAATCATTCTAGAAAGTGTGCCAGAACACACTAGACACGGCAATATTTACCAGTATATTGTCAACGTTACATAGTATTCATGGTTAAGGGAACAAAAAAACTCATGGGTAATAGCATTTCATGACTTGAAAGCAGCTGCACATTATGATGCAACAACGGCTGAGAGTTTTCAGGTGTTACAGTCACTTAATAGAGCACTCAAATGATGAAGATATTTTTGATTTAAGCGTCCCACCAATTTGAGATCCCACTAATGCCATTACATTCAAGAAGTTAATCCATGTTATTACACTCACGTGGCATTACCTCCGTGAACAGACATTTTCATTGGGAATGTTTATCTGCGCTATAAGAGCTGTAATGGTTTCTATCAGTTAAATGGCATATTATCTCAATAACAAGAGACTAAACTTCTTTGTTCTTTTGTTCAATGTCCTGCGTCCGGCGGGATTTGCTTAGTCTAGGTCACAAAGACTGCATGCTAACATGAGCAAGATTAGAAAGTATTCTGTATGTGTTGGTCGGGAGAAAGGTTTTAAGAAGACGAAAAACATCCGTCCAAAGAAGCCCTCAAACAGAAGAGGAGTAAGTCTATATCTGAGCCTTAATTATTGTCTAGCGTCTGACCAAACAAGCAAAGTTTGCACGGAGTCTGATTCGTGAGGTAGTGGGCTTTGCACCATTCGAGAAGCGTATGCTTGAATTGTTAAAGAACGATAAGGAAAAAAGAGCACTTAAATTCGCCAAACGACGCATTGGTGGACATAGAAGGGCTAAAAAGAAAAGGGAAGAGTTGATGACCATTGTCAAGAGCATGAGAATGAAATAATTCATTTTAAATAAAAATGGTTTGTCTGTTTTTCTGCTTTTTTCCGCCAAGTTTTTCTCGTCGGGTGGCTTTTAATGATTCAAGTTTATTTGATGCACTATGAATAAATAGCGAGATATATACGTACGAAGTCGGTCTTTTGACACAATTCAGCACGTAATATAGCTTGCGGTGACAATATCAACATAGTGACAGGCCTATATCAGGATTACCGAGGAACAATAGGTATTAAGTGCAACAGAATCGTCAATGTGGGTTTCGGTTTATTTATTCTGCCTGTATTCACTTTTATCACTGTAAGTCTCTTGGCCATTATTGTACGAAACGGTAATTAGTGTGTTGTATGATAGTACATTGATTTGCTTACCTAGACATTTTCGCACCATTAGTGTCTGAAAAGTTAACTTAGGCTAACAAACCCGTTCGAATCATTGTGTGAGTGGACTTATCTAGTTTTTTTGGTCAAAGCAGTTACGTAGGTTACAGTTTGAACCAGGCTCGTTGCTTAACGTAGCTGAAAATCGCTAGTGATTGTGGTTCCTTTGTTCCAGATTTACCCCCATTATTAACTTGAGGGACAGTTATTATAAACGGACATCAAGGCTCGTAACTAAACGATTGGTTTCGTATGTAATGTATTATTGATACCTGGGGTTTCTAAATTTAGACGATTCTCACACACTATAGCTTAGCATAAATATTGAATAGTTGCAGTGACGTTTTACCCGGCAGGATTTTCAGTGAAGCAGTAGTGTTGTCTATGATTTTGATCGTAATGTTGAATAGGAAGAGTATTGATGCCGGTTAGAGGTAACTACTTCATTGGTTTTATGCCATGTCATCTACCGTTTCCAAGCAGTGATCAGGTTTCTAACATACATCTCAACTCAGACACCTACTGTTATATGCGTAAGCTACTCTATTACCCTTCGGTTCATTCACTCTCATTTCTTCTAACATGCTCTCACACTTGTCAAGTGCACGTCATTCGATTATTCGAAAACTTGCCCCAACCATTTGAGTTAGTTCATGGCCACATAAGCTTAAGTCACATCTTCACCTAGCATCCTACCTACTAGTTTTAGGTTGCTCACCCCGATTTTGCTCCACACGTGATAGTGCTTCTAAAAATGTTCGAGTAGTAGTGACTGATAGAAGACCACGCTTCACAGTTATGATTGGCTTAGCATGCTAACATTTGGGAAGGCAAATAAATATCTCAGTACCATAAGTGATGCGATCTGAAAAGTCACTGTATCTATTTGGATTTGTATCGTGGTTTTCCAGTAATCAGAGCTGTTGAAATATCTAAAACGAATGAGGTCAGTACAGGATATACGTTGCCCATGTATAGGACGACATTTAGTGAAGATGAGGAAATCAGACAATCGTGTTGCCAGTCCCGTTGAGAATCCACCATGAGCTCCAACTAAACAATGGGTGTTCGAGTGTCACCTTTAGGTCTATGGGTATGACTACTGTCGGACGTTGTTAAACATGCCTACGTTCGGGAATTCTCCAGAAAACATTTGACGAATAGATGTTTGGTTGATTCTATGGTTTGTTCTATAGAGCTCCGTTTACGTGTCCTATAATTATCAACGATAATAATTTATACTAAGTGCTGGGCCAATAGACTCCTCAGAGGTTATCGCATTTGTGTTTTTGTTCTTTCTCAAGCTGGGACGATTAGCGATCGAGCCCGTTATGTAGTATTAATCCCAACTTTCACTAAACATCAGTCGATTTTAGTGTGAGTATTATTTTATCACCATTAGTGACCAGAATCCGTTAGTCTCAACTACTTACCCTCGCTTCAAGGTAGTTATCATATTTTAGGCCTTGCTAGGAAGATCAGTGCATTGTTAGTTTTCTGTCCACTCTATAAAAAAAGATGTTCATCTATTGTCTAAATATGAAAATTCCGAGCAATAGCATATACAAGCTTCAATAAATCCATATATTCTGAAGAACTACACAATTCGTAGAAAATAATATATAATGACCCATAAGACGAATACATTTACCTAATACCAACATAAAACAATGAAGGTTTAAGTTTGCACTGAAAGATGGATGTTTTACATCCGATGACTAATCTTTAATGTTTTCAATTTATCTATCTAGGTCTTAAATTATAGAGGTAAAATGAACAGCTGAGACTTTGTAGGCAGCAGGAAAGTTTAGTAAAACCTGCCAGCTGTGTTGGATGAAGGCTTCCTTTTAACACAACATTCGAATATACGAAGTGTTTTTAGAGAGATGTTAGTTTAGTCACAAACAAAAAATCTCTGAAAAAACGTGGTTGATTATAATGAATAAATGCCTTGACCGAACATTTCAGTTACGGAATTCTTACTGTTTATCAGAACAAGAGCTACATTCCTTTGATTCGAAACAAGTCATCATAACCTGATAATAGGATAAATGTTTCAGTCGTGCTTATGTTTTGGCGAATATTGTTATAAAACTGTTCACTGGTTGTCTTGTGTATTTTTGGCATCCAAGCTACGGAATCCAATATTTCAAGTGCATCTTTGTAGTTGCGAAAAGGACATTTTACTACTCATTATATCTTTCTGCATGAAGCTATTTGCGTCACTGCTATCTCACTGGCGTAGTCTAATAAAATTACCAGTTTGAGAGATGAATGTTTGGACAAGTTTATTAAATTTCACTCTTCTATGAGTTACTTAGAATCCCTCAACAGATAATTAAGCTTGTTTCTCACATCAAGGACCGATTGATAACGCTGTATTATTATGTATGGGTTGCAGTACTCTATATCCACAGTGGTTATATTCTAATGAATAAAACTTTTACCTGCACTTAATGCATGTTATGGTTTTGATGCGACTGACATTCCTGAAGGTATTCTATTTATTTGTTAACTTATTATTATTGTTATGGATAGCTTTATTCAGTTTATATATTTAGTACAATATGGAATTCTCAGCGCTAAGTATTTCAACATGCCTCTTTTGGAAAAACAAAGAAAAATGATTGATGACTGCATATATACATGAAATCAGTTAATAGTATAGCTGGAATCAAATGAAATGTTTATAAGAAAATAAGCCCGACCGTAGCTGCTACCTTGACGTGGTGGTCGGGCTTGCCTATCGTGATGACGCAACTGAGCTATACTGGCTGGAACATATGTTCCTAAAGGTTCTACCATGCCAGGCAGGTCGATTGGAGAACGATGAGACTAAAAGCAGCTACTCAAGGTCTGAGGGCAAAGTCGTACTGCTGACTGCAGAGAGGTGTGACAGCAGTAAGGTGTTTCCCTCGGACAACCAGCATCTGCAGCGATGCTGCCTTCTCACAAGGAAAGTAGGGTTAGAAGAGGTCGACCCTAAAATGTCACACAACACTCTACCTCATAGATTTCCATCTCCGGCGGTAAGGGTGCCCACTAAGGGCTTTTAACAGCGGAGCTAGTACTCAAAAAACCCTTCATAAAAAGGCCGTACGTGACCGGCCTCAAGCAGTTGTCCCTTGGGCTCTGCGGTCACGCTCCCAGGTCTCTAAGACCAACTCTAATCCACCTTCCTTTTCAGCTTACACAAGAAACAACCTTCCACGGTGTTAGCAGCCGGAAAGTGACAACCGCCCTCATACCCGTAACAGCACACGAGACCAAGTAGGTCAAAATCAAATCCTTCCTGCACCCACACATACCTCTCTTATCTCCACGACTAACTCTACTCACATTCCTTTATCTCCCCGGACCTGTGCTGCAAACGACCCGAGTCCTCGAAACGTTATTCCTGGTCTCTTGAAGCCCCGTTCTAAACTACATGTTGGAGCATTGTGTTAAATAGGGCAACAGGCATCATTAGCTAGGACTTGAGAATCTCGTGCCATCGATGAGTGCTGCGTCTCGGAAACGCGCATACAGCATCCGAGTAGCATCATTCACTTGACCTCACCATATCAAGATAAAGAAGTAACTCAATTTCCCCCTCGTGTATCCGGTAGCCCTGATGCTGCTTCCCGGGGTCTCGCTGGTGTAGGTATAGCATTGAGTGATAGGGCAGAGCTATCTCTCCTAGACTGGATCCCTGTAGAAAGTCGCTTGTGCGCTGTCCGACTAAACGAGACAGTAAGGATTCGGAAGGATAGGGACACTCGTCGTTGCCTCTTCGTCATATCAGCCTACGCCCCCATTGATTGCAGTTCAGACCAGATTAAAGATGAGTTTTACAGAAAGTTTTTGAACCTCCTCCAAAAAGGTTAGGCGCTCTGATATAGTTATAATGGCTGGTGACTTCAATGCTCAAGTAGGTAGACTAAGTGAAAATGAAAGACACCTTGGTGGATGTCATGGTCTCGCGGCTCAAAGAACAGACAATGGCGACCGTCTGTTGCAACTGTGCTCAGATAACCGTCTATTTGTAGCATAAGGAAAAACATCTGGTGACCCCCGAAGTCGTCTCAACGTTGGACACAACTAGATCATATCGCCATCAGCCACCGATGGACGGGTTCGATAGAGGACTGTCACTTGTTCTGGGGCACATGTTTAGATTCAAATCATGCTCTAGTGCGAGCGCGTATTTGTTTGCGCCTTGCTGGACTCCAGAAAAATATCGCAAGAAAACCCCCTAGGGCTTTACTTAATGATAATCAAGCTAAGAAAATATTTCAGGAGGAACTAGAAAAACAGTTAGGCGACCATGCAAGTGATTCCCATCCGGAGGCAGGTTAGAATGATTTCAAAAAGGCTGTGGGATCAGCAGTGATATCTGCTAGCAAGGTAAACCATAAGGCTAGGATCAAGTCGTGGATTTCAGTTGCATCCATCGAAAATGCATCCCACCTGACTCTGAACATGACGAAGAGCGAAGTCAGCTTAGGCACAGACTGATAAAAAGCCTACGTAACGACCGCGAACAGTGGTGGGTGGCGAAAGCGATGGAAAAGGCAGCGGCGATAGGCAACACTGGACAACTTTTCCGCCTTATCAAAGAAATCGGTATTAGGAAGCCGGATGTGAGTGAGACTGTAGCGTGCCACGGAATACCGAAAATGATATTAACTGACCAGGGTTCCTGTTTTGAAAGTGACGAGTTTAAAGGCAGTCTAAAACAGTTTGGCATCAAGAGGATACGAA